CTAACAATAGGCATTCTGATGTCGAGCTGCATTCTGCTCAGTACGGTAATGTGCAGCATTAATATTACCTGTTACGCGGGAGTACCGGAGATCCATGGATCCTCATGGTGGCCCAAGCTTCGACAGCAGCAATGCGGAGTGCTTATCGCCAACTAACCCTAGTTATTATCTCCAACTGAAAGCAATGAGCAATGTGCCCCGCACAACGGCCATAGATCTCCCAGGGATCACGGCACGTAGCTATGACAGCCAGAAAAGAAGTCAAATCTCGGGTATCTACTAGCTAACTACGTACCTAGGTAGCAATATCAACTGCCCAGCCTGGCGCAGTCCTGTGCAAAGACATGGTAGAGTCCTGCTCCCTCTGGGATCCGATGCCAGCAATTCAGCGGGTCCGCTGCGCCACCATGTCCAGGGAGGTTAATGACGAAAGCTCATGGCCCGTCTTCCCCGATGAAAACCTTCCCCGCACGCAGAGATATCTCCCGCAATAGATAACTGCTGGGCAAGGAGCCAATAGATCCCTGCCGTCAATCTGGCGTACCGCATGCCATGCAGCTAATTTCTACCGTCCGCCTACCCAGCAGAGTCCACAGTGGACATACTCTGTATACCGGCCCTCTATTATTACCACCATCTGCATGCATTCCTTGGGTCCGACGTCCACATAATCTTTATCGTGCTGCATGACAAGTTATCACTGCAAGAGCGGTGCAGTGTTCTCTGCACCACCCGGGTACCACAAGTGCCACAGTGCACAGACACCACCCAGGGTGACGATTCGAAGATCTTTGCCATTCGCATCTTAATTTCCCTCTCTGGATTATTATTTTTAGGTATAATTATCGTCATCGTCTTTGACAAGGCTGACTGTTTCCCCTCCTGTAGCACAGGGTCCTTGTCCCCTCATGATTGCGTCAATAATCGCCATGATGAGACTGGCCATTGTCTAAGATAGGTACGTGTCGGCATTCGAGGAATCCATGTGCAGATGATGTGCATGTGGCACTATATTCTGTCAATCATGCTGCCGGAAGAGCGGTGAGGTCTGCTGCTATTTCTGGTGTCTGCTAGCGGGTCACATTGCATAGCATATGCGTTGAGAATTCCGACATCACTGCTGTGACTACGTATTTCAAAGATTGGTCTATATCTATATACCTCTACTCCTCGTCTACATCAATGTGTATACGCGTATATACATTCGGTGTGGCAATGGCAGACATTGGATTCAGTCAACTCCATTACCTTGAGCATACTGATCCATGCATCGATCTGACTTTTAACTCACTGGCTCCGCTCCATCAACGCCTCCAGGAGGAAGCCTCGGCCTTGTTCCCGGACAGTCGTCACAGCCTGCTCTAACTGAGACCGCAGCGCTTTTACCGTATTCACTCTGGCTCCCTGCATCCAATCGTTCTTTCCGCCGTCACTCTCAAAGGAAGATCCAGCCGCCGCCTTGGCTAACTGGGAGTAGTTCGGAGACGGATCGAAAGAAAGGTTCAGTTCATCGCGTGTGGCGTCCTTATTCATCCCTTCGGGGTACACTAACTCGGTCGAATGACGCGGGGCGTGCCACCCTGTCGCATTGTCAGCGCCGTCCTCTCATGCTCTGCGGATCAAAGACATGAATGAGAATACTCACCGCCGTTATTCAAGACTACCGTGAGAATGGGAATCTGATACTTACGTGCCACCCAGGCGGCGCTCGAGGGTGCAGAGCACATGTAACTCCCGTCGCCAACAATCTGGCAGACGAGGCTCGGCTTCTTCTTGTTCCCCTCCTCGAGGTCTTTTCCTTGGTCGTCGAGCGCCATCTTCACACCCAGGGCCGCGCCATTGCTCCACCCAATCCCAGTTGCACCACAGTTAATCCAGCTACCAGGCCGACTGCACTGCAGCTGGTCTGAGATCGTCTGGGCGCACGTTACCGCTTCAATCACAAAGGTGGTGTCTTCAGGAAGACAATCTTTGAGGAGGCGACTGATGTTGTGGGCATTGAGAGGCTCATCATCCCCCAGGCGAGGGAGCTTGGCAATGTTTTCGAGGCGAGCTCGATGACTTTCAGCGAGCTCTCTCCAGCGAGCAGCGTATTTGGGGTGTTGAAGCGCTTGGGAAAGAGCAGAGTCGGCGTCGATGTGCGTGAGGAGCTGTGCGAGAGCCGTGTAGCAGTCAGCTTTCCAGCGTCCGTGAGCGGGAAAGAAGGAGACGGGAAGATGTTGATTCAAAGGGTCAACATCGATGTGGTAAATCCGGGCATCTTTTCGTGGCGGGTTACGCGAAGGAATCCACGGCACGTCGCAATCGAGGATCAAGATCACGTCCGCATCGCGCGTACACTCGTCGTAGCCAGGTAGGCGGAACCCTTGCGAAGCGGGGTGCGTGAAAGGGAAGCACATGTCACTCCCACCAGTGTCGTGGACGCGAAGGCCTGGGATTTTGTCTGCAAGGGCAGCCAGCAGCGGTGGGCATCGGCGGTCCCGACCGGAATATCCAGTAATCACCAGAGGACGCTCGGCGTGAACCAGTGCCTCTGCAAGAGTATGGACCGCTTCCTCAGGCAGAGCGCTGGGACCGATTGGCACCCACTGGTCTTGTGGCAGAGAGTACGGTTCTATCTCCTCGGCCAGCGGCTCTCTCGCAGCGGCAAGATAGACAGGGCCTTTGGGTGCGCTGCAGGCAAACTGGAGGGCGCGTCCAACGTTCTGCTTTACGTTCAAGCCACTTCGTATCTCGCCGGTGTATCTGCAATATTGGCGCACAATGGCCTTCTGATCTGGAGGGTCTTGCAGCCAGTGACTATATTCTGTCCGGGAGCCAGGCAGTTCGCCTGACTCGGTATACGGACAAAGACCGGCAAAGATAAAGACGGGAACACGCGCCACGCTTGCGTTGTGGATACCATGTGCGAGTGCCTGGGTGCCAACATCCACATGGACAACGACCGCCTGTGGACGGCCAGTGACTCGAGCATAGCCGTCTGCCATTGAGATTGCAGTTATCTCACTGGGACATGTCACCATCTTCGGCCACCGATCCGGCCGCTCTCTTTTTCCCTTGACGATCGCCTCGATAACCGAGGGATGATCCGAGCCAACGTTGACAAAACATGTCGTGACGCCCGCCTTCCGCAGTCGTCAGATTTGGTCTGGCAAAAGCACAAGGTAGGCGCATACCTCCCACAGCGATTCGAAGAGGGCAAAAGAGGCAGTATACCTGAGATGCGAGGGAGGGTCAGCATGGACTGCTGCTAGGGCAGCATGGCGAATTTGGTGACAGAGAGCTTCTTGAAGCTAAGCTTTGCGATGGGATTGGAATGCTGGATGGTTGCATAGGAACTCACGGTCCGGACTTGCTTCGCAATGGCTGACCCGTGGAGAAGCTCGCGGCAGTGGATGCACGTGGTGTTTGGCCAGAAAAGCGAGGAAGCTTGGCAGGCGGTATTAATGTCCCTCGACTAAGTCTTAGGCATGATAAGGACGAAGCGCTCCCAGCCCATGTTTTACCAAGGCGCATTGCAAATGGATGTGTCTAGTAGATGAATTGAAACAAGTGTATCTCCGGAATGCTAGGGGGGAAGGGGGCAGGTGTCGATAGAAGAAAAGAGCGATGATCCTAGAGGGGAGCTTGCAGTACGGAGTAATAGCTACCGAGCGGATAACGGCATGCCGAGCCTCGGCCAGGGCTGTCGCCCTAGGTGTCAATCAATGCTGTTCATCGAAGCAACAAGACCAAATCAAGCATGAGTTGTACACAAGTCGCATGTACATACATACACATCTTGTTCTATACAGAGTACATTTGAGCATCGTCAAGATATATGCCCTCAATTATCGCGTACCTGAGAAGCAACGGACCATGGGTCGTCCGTTTCTGGTTCCGTCCCCACTTCCGTTCCTAGACCGGTCAAGTAGGACACTATTACCTGTCTACTTCAACTAAAAAACAGCCAGGACTGTAAGACTTCCCCTCTAAAACGCCACAACAACCACGTTAATATTCAAACTATCAACCCAGACTCCGTTTGCAGACGTATTACAAAAGGCTACAGAGCCGTATTGTGGCCGAAAGGCTAGAGAGCTACGCTACAAAGGTTTCCTGTACTGATGGCTCCTTCAAGGTGAGTCTCCAGCGTGCTTCTAGAAATCATTTCTCAAGTAGGACTAAATGTTGGTGTATTAACCTGTGCTATCATTATCTGTGGTATCCGACTGCGCATGTCATCCGTATCTATAGCTCCGAGCATAATGTAGAAGTGAGTCACACGCAATGAACAAACAAAAACAACAAAACCCCCATTACGCCAGCCGCAGAGACCAAAAAAAAAAGGAAAAAGAAAAAGAACCAATTATTATTGTTGACGGCGATGTGGGCGAGGAATGAGTCAGATGCCCGGGGGCGATGTGGAATCAACATGCCTGTCTTCGTTCCCCACGCTTACCCCCTGATTCCTGCGTTCCTCGTGCCGTTCAAAGTAATTGAGAAGACATATCCACACACAACCGGGGGGGGGGGGGGGGGCATTATTCATGGACAGGCGTTCTCTCACTGGCACCTGGCAAATTAAGGCCTTCCTGGGGCCTGTGAGGATGGATGACGGGAAAAGTGTTACAAAAGAACAGAGAGCCACCACCCGGACCGAAATTCTAGCAAATTCCCGGCGCATTCGGAGCGTTCTTTGCTTGCTGAAGGAGAGTGAAAGCAAAGTAAATGTGGTATGAGAATAATAAAAATGAAAAGGCGATCGAAGAAAAGCTCCCATGCCGTGCGGTGATTATACAGCCATAGCCGTGGCGTTGATGTGATGATGCAGAAAACATTAACGAGTAATTATCAATGAGAACCCATCGACCCAGGGACCGCAAGAACCTGAAACGCCAGCAATGCTATAACCTCTCGGGGGTATTAAAGTATGCCTGCGGACGACCTCTTGGTTAGCGATATAATCCAGGACACCGGTGCGGTGGAGTGCTGTCCAGTCTCGTAGGCGATTAAACACCACGATCAGGTGCAACAATAAATTGTGGTACGTACCCTGATCCTCCCTTCGCATTTCCATATACGCCTGACTTCCGCCCCAGGCTAGTAAGGATTTCGATCCCATCAATCCAAGCACCAGCCCGGACATAGAAGCCCAACAAGTTCTCTCCCCGTCGCGTATCTGGGATGTTGTCAGACCAACGATGCCCTCTTACAAACCACTCATTAGACACGAAACTCACCAAAGACAAATTCGTCGCCTCCCGGCTTCCCGCCACGCTTGCCGAAAAGCTGGCTCGTGGCATCCTCGTAGCAAAATTCCAACCCATCAAGCGCCTCACCATGATACACTTTGATGGAAGTCAACAGTTTAGTTTGAATGAACGCACTCTCCAGAATAACCTGCTCTGGTTGACTGCCCTCCAACTGCGAAAAGCCCAACATGCTGCCCTTGTAGCCCGTCTGACCTTTCGGGAGCTTCACTAGGGACTGTTTCGACCTTAACGAGCTGAGGTCGGGGACCGTGTGACTGCCGAGACCTCCGGAAAAGATCTCAAGCCTGACTTTCTTCTTTTGTTTCTCAGCGGGTAGTTGTTGCCGTAGCTCGCTTTCTGTCACCGTCACCTGTCGCGGAACTCCACTGTTGGGCGACTCAGCATTGACGAATTCGATAAAGCTATGGCAGGTTTCATCCCCTTCGGCATAGATTTCAATAAAGGCTACCCCAGACGATGCCGTGATGAGTATCTTCCCGTTGTCCACGGGCCATACCTGGACGCTGTCGTCTGACGGAGCGGGAGGGTCACTAGGCAAGCGGAAACAGGGATGGAATCGGAACCGGAGGGCGTCCAGTCGATGCCATCCACATTCATCGGACGGCAAGCACAACTTGAGGCCCGGTGATTTGGTGCGAGTTGAATACGACTCTCGAGTGATAAAGGTTCGATTCAGCCGGACGTAGTCGCGCAGCATGATGCCGGATTCCTGGTGCGGACACCCGAACAGGTGGCCCACCTCGTGGAGGTGAGCACCGATACCGATGTTGGCGGCTTCCCAGTTGCTCCCTGATTCCCCGCAGTCGTTTCCGACGTATCGAGCATCGGTTCTCGTGCAGTCCGTAAAGGCAGGGACCACCTCTTCCAAACAAGAAGGGTAACTCTGGAGGCTATGAGAACCAAAAATGGCCATCTTCACATTATCACTGCTCGAACCCAGAGCGGCATGGCCGGTGATCGTCTGCGAGGCCGTATCCCAATGAGAGTCGAGAAGGAGCACGGCCACATACCGTTTCTGATCGGCATGCGGTCGGAAGTAATCCTTCACCGCTTTCATAGCGATGTTGAAGAGCTCATTTTTCTTAGTAGCGGGTCCGTACTGCTGGGCGATGTTCAAATCTCGGAGCTCGGCTACGGTCTTCTCTGACCGGACAATATGGATCTTAGCTTCATTCCTCATCTGTCCAGCGAGAGTGTCCCGCTGACTGAGGGTGCCAGTCTGCCATTCTTCTTCGAACCGGAAACAGCGTCTGCCAAAACCGTTCCGGAACATCTGCTCGCCAGTAAAAGCCTGCCAGAGGTAAGCGGCCATTCGATACTTCCGGATCGCAGTGTCAAGGCCGTTTCCTTCTCGCCGGACGCGTTCGGGAACCGCATCGAAGGTCCCTTCTGAATCCTTTCCGAGAAGGATCACTAGGTCGAGGGGCGGGACATTTGCCAAAGGAAGGTAATTGATGCTGATCCAGGATGTGTGGCTGGAGGCTGCGCTCCCAGAAGATAATTTGGGGGACGAGAAATCAAATCGTAATCGGTTCGGACCGGGAACGAGATGAACCAGAGCCTTAAAGTGCGACTCGGAGACGGGCCACGTGGTCGAAGGGAAGCTATCTTGGTTATGGAAGACCGTCAAGGTTCCGTCCAGCGGATGTTGATTTGGGTCTCCAATTTGGCCATAGACCAGAAGGACCTTTTGGTGCACCTGTTGCAGAAGAATTGGGCGTTAGCTACCACCATCTAGTTTGCTTGGTTGGTTCAGAAACGATCACGCTAAGATCGAGCTGTTACTGCATACCCACGAGTTATCGGAAATAGAAAGGATTCGAGGTGCGTATGGAGATGTCGCGGGAGGGGTTCTGGATCCATTGACTGGGGAACCGTTGGCCGCCTGTAAGAGATGATAATTAGCAAAAAGGACGGACACGTGGTGATGGTATAGCGAGAAACCGTACGAAGAAGCTGTTCCTGTTTGACTGAGAAGTGATGGGCACCGGTCGCTGAGGTGGGAGCGACTGCACCGGGGTAGTCGATCCATTCAAGGTGCCGTTTGATTTGTTCAAGGCTGGGAGATTTGGGGTTGATAAATTGCGCTTGATGGACGATGGCGGGGTACTGTAGGTGGTGTCAAGCGTGGAGGAGGATTTGCCCGAAGTCACGTCACCATTGTGAGACTCCCCGGAGGCATTGGTTCGAAAGCTGGCCTTCGACCGACGGCGCAGCTCTTTGAAGAATGGCATAGCGACAGACATTGAAGTTCAGGTCCCCGACGACTTGGACGAAGATCAAACGATCGATCCGCCTTAGAGGCGGATGGCGATGCCCGCGATACGGACGGAGGAATTGGAAGGGCAGGCAGGAGCTGGATGGTGAGGCGGTGGTTGTGGTGATCTGATGTGACGGAAGGAGGGTCCGATAAGCATTGGAAGGCCGTTTGCGGTCGCAGCTGACAATTAAGCACCCGCCGATTCCCCCACGGGCCTGGGGGGTGGTTCAACAAACGAGGGACGGACACGAGCAGCGAGCGAGATGTCAAAAGGAGAAGAGGACGAGAAGGACAGCTCAAACCTGCTGAGTGTCCAGATCAGAAGGAACCTGGCAAGATGATGGATGGGGTGGGTCAGCGATGGGGGCTGTCGTCGCAGTGGCTATAGATAGCTCGGCTCCACAGATTAGGCAGTTCCAGACAAAGCCACCACAGAGGACGTGTACAGAGTACAAGGAGGAACAGCTAATAGTACCTAAGGTCAGGGCAGGATGACGCCAGGCAGCTTTGCGGCCGTCGAGGCGACACAGACGCAGTCAGAGAGCCGGGAACGCCACCGTCGAGGGAACAATGACAGGTTGTTTCACATCGGTTACTGCTCTCCACCTCTGTGCTCTGACCGTACGGGAGATCGTGGGCGGCTGTATCTGTCAACTGCCAACGGCCAGGCCAGCCACGAATGCATACGTAAGGAGGGTATGACCGTGGTGGCTTGCAGGGCCGCTCGTGCATCCCGGAGGCCGCTTGTGGCAGCTTAAAGTCAGCCACCTTCATTAATCAAGCCAGCACTAAGAGTCTAAGACATTTCGTGCTGGAGCCTCAACGGCCCAGGGCTAGAAGATCGCCCAATGAGGGGGCCGCTGCGTGTGCGCCCGGCGACCACGACTGGCGTTGCTTGTTTCGGCGGCCCCGCTCTGGACCAAGGATGGAAACGTCTGGCGTCGAGATAACAATTGCTTCCGGTGCCCTGCCGAGTGGGTTCCTGCGAACAGTTCTGCAGCTCCCAGTCCGCACGCGGTATGCTGGCCTGTTTAGGCAGGGCATACGGAGCATGAACGGTTGAACTGCCAGCATGACAGGATCCATCGAGATCAAGCTATGCTGCATTTCTCCATTGAAAAACGCGACTAGCCGCCTCCGTCTTGCTGTGGCCGGTGATGCCGCCAATTGCAATGGGAGCCCGTCGTCGTAACCAGATCTTTGTGTGATTCCGACGGAACGGACTCCTATCCCGATTCCCCACAGAAATTCCATTGGATTCTACAAGTGGCTTAGTGCAAAGCAGCAATGAGTCCAATGACAGGTAGGAGGTATGTACAGTACATGCTTGAACCTGGCCAAACAGTCCTAGGGACTCTGTACTCCGTACGAGGGCATCAGACTGGACGACCGTCGATTGAACATAGAAGAAGTTTTGTGTATGGACTAGTGTTCCTGTCTAGGAAAAGCGTGCGTGATCCTGTACTTCTAATGGAAATTTCCTGAAGACTTCTCCTGTATCTTGCTCTTCTGCAAAGATTGTTGGGACTGGGTCTCTACTTCTTCTCTTGAAGGGAGAACCCTGCCTTTTTTTTTTAAAAAAAAAAAGGTGCTGGAGAAGCTGACATATTTATGGTTTCTTTGGCATATTTGTACTAAGGCGCGAGCTACTTTTAAATACGAGCTCAAAAAGGGAAATGATCTTAAAGCTAAGACTAGAGACCTCGACTATATCTTTGTCATAGCTTTTTTGTCATAGCTTATCCTCAAAAGGTTCGTACAAAAACATACCCTTCGTAGCGGCAGCGCTTGAGCGTGCCAAATTGCCTGCTACCCAAATGCTGTTCCTCCATTTTCTGTTCTTGTAAGTTGTCGAGAAATCTTGAAATCGACAATGTAACTAGAAGTAGCACAGATGTTAATTTTATTAGGAAAGAATATATAGCAAAAGACTTAGCATTCTTGCTTTCCCAATTCCAAAGCAGATTGTTTCTCTGGCTACAGTCGACGCACCACCTTCACGCAGTTTTCCCGTGAGAAATAGAGTCTTCAAATGGGTGGTTAGCCAAACCTGCTGCTGATAGGCAATCTTTTCTGGCGCTCAGTCACGTCCCTTCGCCAAAAAAAAAATCAATGGGACACCTGGTAACTGATTCATCAAGATGTAGACAATACAACCCTCAGAAACAGGAATGTCTCTTGAACTAACTAATGCTGATAAGATTCTTTTCACACCTAGGCAGTGGAGACAATTGTAGCATGGAGTCTGGTTGGAGTGAAGTCAAGTATGTAGCGAATCAATTGTCGCTGCCGTATGTTGAAGGAGGAAGGAAACGAAGCACATGACATTGAATCACCCAAACTCGACTATATTACATGCTCACATAAGGTTGTAATTTGCCAATGAATGGTCTTCTAATGTCTCGTGGACTAGAATACTCCGTAATGGCTGTCTGTTTGTCCAGTTAAAATGATCCATGAAGTGAGTGTCTTCTATATCGCATATAGCCCTCGGTTCTCCTGTCATTATAAAGGTACTCCGTCATTCTATCCCTAGATTTTTGTCGTAGTAAGCTTATATGTGATATTTCTACTATCAATTATTTTCGTTTACCCTTATATGAGTAGCGTTTACTGTTGATAAAAAGAAAGAAAGAAAAAGCAAAAAGGTCCAACTCCAAAGATTGACTTGACTGCAGGGATCTGTCTCTCCTGAGGGCCTAATTTCTCTTCAGTCAGTCCACAACTTTCCGTTTTTGGGCTCTACATGGGAGTTCTCATTTCACGTCCATCCTTTCCTTTCTTGTATGTATGTACAACATCTAAGAGCTGGAAAGGTATTTGAATCTATTCAATACTCCTACATGTATAGTACAAGAATATTCTTCCTCAAAGCGTTGTCACAAAGAATGGAACTGCACTATAGCTTGGAGGTCAGCCTTGTCGTAGCCTGAAAGCTAAGGCAACAAGGCTAAGAAAATAACATTAAAATGGAGAATCTTATTGGACGGGAAAACATGTGAAAGACAACGCAGCTTCTGCCATGCAGTGATCTAATTATTATACGTGCAGTTCTCCATACCTGCATTGCAGAGCACCAAGACTTCCAGCGGCAGGACTGGCCAGTGAGAAAGGGAAATACTGAAAGATTAGGTGGATTTTGTAGTCCTGGAGGGCCAAGACTAATGGAAGATTTTCCCGCGCAAACCCCAAATGACGTAGTTTTCTGAGATGAAAGGTGGCAGAGTCTACAGAAGTCAGAGTACAAGGTGCTCTGTAGATGCTCTTGACTTTGAAGACTCGCTTGGGGCTCCTTGAGCCTGGCCAAGCTGTAAGGAAAGTGGTGGCGTGCCTTCACTAACGCCCTGCTAGGCAAAGGAGGGGGTTCGCGACCCATTCCGGAACGATGACCGGGCGACGGTACGGCTTCGCGTCTGGCGCGTTGCTCCCTTTGGCCTGGCTTCAGGGCGACCCGCTTCTTTCATTTCATTTCATTTCTCCAATGCCAAAATCTACTCCATCCTTTGCTCTCTCCTGCACTTAGATTGAACAGGGCCGGGGACACGTGAACTCCCGTGAGCTCCATCCATACGGTCTCTCTTCTGCAATTCAATTGAGTGGTCTCTTACCAGGGCCCTTCCTCCGCGGAACCATTCCAATCCAGCCCAGCCCGCCCTTGCTCCCTTTGCAGGAGAGAAGACTGACCTCCCCACAGTTCCTTGGTTAAGGACAAATTCTTTCTTGCACGCTTTCTATGGTCTCGATCAGGATCTTTGTGACGAGTCAGACTAGCATTGCAGTGGCATAGAGAAATCATGTCACTGCCACCACAACGCGGCACAGTTGATCGGACAAGACGCAAAATCGACATTGCTCAGGTATGTCTCCTGCCAGGCCTCTGTGGCAGGTTTGACGTCGTTCAACACTCACAAGCTCCTTCGTTCTAGGTGTCCTTGAGCTTGCAAGATCGACTGGGCCTTGCCAAAGTCAAGTATGAGAACGGCCGTCTGCGTTTAGATTCGAAAGACCATGACCAGCAGGATGACAAGCTGGGTGCGCTGGGATCTGATAAACCGTCCGACTCGTCTTCCGAGCTGGCCTACAGCCGCTACGAAACGCCTTTGACGTCCTCCCCAACCCGAAATGCAACTTTCTCAAATGAGTTGCCCAGGTCGGCGAGAAACAAGCATGCTGCAACATTCGATCCGGGTGTGATGCAGCCCATGCTCAATGCGAGCCGCAAGCGTGTTCGATCGAACTCCATAACTGAACGTCCAGCCAAGGCACCCCGGCTTTCGTGGAAGAGTTCTCATCGGTTGCCAGAGTCCTCACCTGGTTTTGACCGACCAGTTCAAATCTATTCGAACCATCCTCCGTCCTTTGACGTCCCGACATCCTCAACCCCTGCCTTCAATAGCAACTCGGATGAGGACAACGATCCCGATCTCCCAGCTCATAGCTTCCAGAACGTCAGTTCGTCCATGGTCAGCTCCTCTCCTCCTCGAACTCCGCCTCTCCGTCCTGCTCGCCTGCCAAGAAACGACAAATACCAGGAGAACGAAGATGGAGCAGACCTTCTCCTGTACTTAGCCAACTCCCCTACCCCGGCCAGAGTCAATAACAAGGCACAATCGCGAGACCTCCCTCCATCAACACCTCCTAGCCAGTACGCGGCCTTACCATCTTTGACCCCTACACCCAGTGGCGGGGTGTTTGCCAACTTTGGCACTCCCAACCAGCAGTTCAACTTTGCCGATTTTGTCAACGTCACTCCGAGCCCAGCACAACGGCCCCGGGGTGGGCGCACTCCCGGTAGTCTCTCCAAAACCCCTCTTTCCAAGGGAGCAAGAAGAGGTCTGAATTTCGACAATCTTGTTCCCCCTGACGCTGACAGTCCCAACGGACGCAGCAAGGACTCCGGCTTGACGTTGCAACTCGGTGAAGAATTGAGACCATGACCCTCATGAAACCGTCCTTCCTTTGGGCAGCACCCTTTTCCTTTTTGCATGTTACGCCTGATACGACTGGTTGACGATATCTGATGCGTTTGATATAATCTCGCATTTCATTCGGCGCAACTGCTGATTACGTGCCTCTTTTGCTCTATATTGTCATGGTGGGAGAGACCATTTTCTTTTTAATCCACTAGTGCCTAATGTTCTCATTCTCATCGGACGATATTCTACCTCGGTCACCCCTGTCCATATGCACCTGTCCATTCTCCTAATCATCCTGTCTGAGTATCATCCTCTCTCTTTTGATTTCCTATGTTCGTGTCTCCTGTATGGGCTCGCATCTGCATGTTCAGACATCACTCTCAAGTCCTGTGTTCTTTGCAACACACACAAACACACATTCGCTCTCTCTCTGTTTCTCTATTTTTCCCCCTTTTTTCTTTCTGTCGCATTGTCATGACTCCCCCACTATCCATTGCCGATTTGGAGGGCTGTCCTTGTGCATTATGGTCTTCATGAGTGTTGGGAGAGGATAAGGTGTCGAAAATACCTGCTCCTTCCCCGTGTCTGGGATAGCAAAAGGAAACACCAACCTAGGTAACATACAACATTAGGAATAGGATCTGATGAATGACACGTCTAACATTCAACGTTTCCATGTGCTTTCTAACTTGTGTGCAGTACAGTACAGTACAGGCTCTTAGCCCTCCTTCCATCATGCGGACCCGCAAGCTTTTTGTTTTTTTTTTCCCGCAACCTCTTTCAGCTTGACGCGAACCCAACGCGGGCGTGTAAACTCGTGTCGTTTTCGCGTTGTTTATATTTCCCTATCAGGACTAGCTGGATCGCGAACCTAAGGTTAGCGTCTGATCCTAGCGTATCGTGC